ATCACTTTGTCTTTTTAGTGAATTTTCATTAAAGCACTCCATCTCAAATGCATACTAAACAGTCTTTAATGAATAAAACACTCAATTTTGACAATTTTCCCATACAGTTACCATAAATTTTCTCACCCCTGAAAACTTTATCTTTGAAAATGTAATTCAGTTTAATTTTATTATGTTAGAAAACTCTTTCTTTCTTACAAATATTTAACAGGAATAAAGCAATCTGTCGTGATCATGCTTTGATGGTTCCGCTGCTCTGTGTATGTGTAGAGCCATCAAAGCGTGCTGTGATATGACCTGATTTATTACACATCACAACAACTCTGATGTCTCCACGACATACCATTCCTCGTACTCCTGCATCCTCCTCCTTGTTAACCTGTGTGTAGGTCCCATAACCTCTGTGTCAACCCTGGGTACAGTCCCTTACTTATATACATCCTTCTGAGTAACTCTTGTGACACCTGAGTGATTATAACCAGAATTTCTCCCCTGGTGAAACCAGTAACTCCACCCCACAGGTTAAATTGGATAAGTAGGTCACACCTGTCAATCTTCCCTACAGGTAAGGGATAATTAGTACTGCTCAGTGGGGACATGTAGTCACACCTGTTCTATCTGCTAAACAATCAACAGGTAAAACTCCCCAGGACACATGCTGTGTGAAAATTAATCCTGTCAAATCAATTAAAACATTCATTTCTGAGGTCATTATAATGATTAAATTGATACAATAAATCAACATGTAATTGACTACCAATGAAGTGAAATATTCAAGATAAACAACTTTGCTTAAAAAGTGTCAAACTTCTGGAAAAAAAATTCTCTTACCTAGATAATTTTTTTGTGTCTGTATTTTTCAACATATTATGAAAGGAGAATATTAAAACAATTTTACATTTATTTATAATATTCACAGTTAATTAAACTATTTTTTTTTTAAATGTCTGATACTTTATTAGTATTTATTCCTGTTTCTAAGAATGGAATGGAACAGAATTCTGCTCCCTAAACTCCCCCTTATAATATATTACAACAATGCAAGCTCACTCAAGCCTTTCAAAACTATAAACATAACAGTACGAACATAACAAAATTAGACAATTGTGTTGAAATAAGACTCAATTCTTTTAACATGGTGTTTCTGATCTTTCAACAAAAAATTCTAATCAAACTGAACCTTTGGTTTCTATTCCAGATCTTTGGAATCTTATCGTTTCATTTCTATCAAAAGAATACAAGTTTTATTTTCATCACAGATAATTTGAATCATATAATGCTTAGAGTAGGCATGATTCATTTTGAATTTATTATGATCCATTTGAAGCATTAATATTTCACATCATCATGATCATAAGTTAATAACCCAATCTAATTGCTCATTATAACACATTTAAACAAGGAAAGTATTTCAGTTTTTTTTTCAACTGAATCAAATTGAACCCTACAGATGTTGGCTGTCAAAGCAGTTTTAGCCATCAAAGCGTGCTGTGATCTGATAAATTCTGACATAGTTCACAGCAACTTTGACAGAAAAACCTGCTTCTTCATCAATAGTAGCTAAACAGACAGCAAATGATTCTATAATTTATATACAATTGAATTAATTCAGTAATAACATTGAAAAATCATCTTAAAAGATATTCCAAGATGTGCTTGTGGTCACTTTTTTGATGGCAAAACATGGCTTGATCAAACTAATGCAAAACTGTCTAGGAGAATTTACAAAAGATTAACTCTTTTCCCCTTAGACCTTTCCCTCCTTTACTCCTTAAAGACCCAATTTTTTTACCGTACGGTTACCTGAGGAGGGGGAGTGGTCGAAGTACTAGTGGTGTTATTTACCTGGAGACCCCCAATACCCAAGATGTCAAAAATCTGTGTATACGTAGCATTACACAGGAAGTCTGTGTTTGGTAATCAGGGTCATCATTACGTGTTTTGAGTGAAACTACGTAAAATAATTATATTAATATGAAATTTATTTGTATTAACGCATTCATAGTAATCATGGTAATGTTTTGAAGGGAAAAAAATAATAAGATACATGTATATCGTTTTAGAAAATGTTTTCCTTACATAAAAGAAAAAAAATCACGAGTAAAACCAACATATATATCTTTTTTAATCTTCAATAAAAGAAATCACTTGATTAAAAAAGTCTGAATATTGAAATAAAAAAAATCCACCTATCCATCGTGCATGTGAACATGCATTTACCGCGATCGGAATGTTTTTTTCCCCTGGCCAAAATATTCCATATTTTTGATTCTTCGTGTGTTAACAAAATTTTATTGTTAGAAAGATTTCTTTTCAGAATCGATCTCTATTAATTATTTTCACATTTTCATTACGTATATATCAGGGACCTTTATACTAGTATATAGGTCCCTGGTATATATACAGACGCTAGAGGAAATTCGAGCATTAATTCTGACATCAATTTTTGTACAACATCGTGCGGATTGCTGCCATAGTACAAAATAAAACATCTTTTAAAGCCTATGCTATGCCGTTTATTAGTGCTGAATATTTTTCTTATATCCCATTTCTTAAAAAATAATTCAAAAATCGTCGGACTTCCAATTACGGCAAAAAGAGCCGGTTTTTGTGGACGCGGATAACGTGGACGATTTAACACTTACAAGTAACAAACAGCAGTGAAAATAGAAAAGAAATATTTAATAACGTCAATGTTTTAATAATCTACTTTCAATTATGTTTTGAAATAAAATTCAAACACATTGGAGTTTTCTAACCCGCGTGTATACTATGCGGGTACATGAAAGAGTTTGACGCGTGACCAGGTAATTGTTTTCAAAACACCCAAACTCAGATTACCAAGAAGCACAGGTAGCTGACCTGTCAATCAAATCAGAAGCTATTGTTTTTTTTATGATCGACAGGCGGTAAATTATTGATCTTGAATCAGGTAGATTTTAGGGGCGTTAACATAAAATTGGGTGTTTAATGACGACTTTTGACGCCTAGCCCCCAACCCTCAACTCTTTACCCCTCAATGCCACGATTTGACGCACTGGCCATATCCTTAGAGTGTTTGCCTGACTGCCCCTTAGAGCGTATTAGACGAATTATAGTACAGTTTAAAACTGAACTAATAAGGGCCAAAATATTTCATTTATACTATGTATTATATATCACTGGATTCGTTATAAATTAAATTTTTCAAATCTGTTTACAAAATTTCGATCGGAATTTTCTGGTAAAAAGTAAAACGGCTTTAATAAGCCAAAATTGTCTATATAAAAAATATGTGGGATGATATAATTGATGGTTAAATTATTATTTATTATCAATTTTATCAGTTTAATTCCTCAGAAATCAATAAATTGTAGTGCTTCTTCAATGTCAATCTCGCCGACAAATTTTCAGACTTGCGTCCTAAAACCTGATTTCTGAACGTTTTTGGATACTTTAATGATCCAGTTCTATTAAAGTAATTATTTTCTTCACCTTAACAATGATAAGTATGTGTAAAATGGAAGGTATCTTCTGAATTTGTGAGAAACAGGTAACGAAATCGGCACGGGGTGGTCCCGAACTTCACAAAATTTTTGTATCTTACAGTATATTACACATATAGATCATTATAATTTTCAAACACTATGAAGAACCCTGTAACACTTAAAACTAAAGAATTTAGGTAAAAAATAATTTTTTTAAGAAAAAAGCATGAGTTAATATTAAGATTATGTCTAAAATTAGAACATAGCAGTCAACTACAAAATAGTAGAAGGGTCTCCCAAGCCTAAGGCAAAGATTTGAAAAGAAATTTATATGGGTTTAAGATTTGTAAACATTCGTAACAAAGCATTTGAAAGATAATTCCTACAAGTAATTCTATGAAATATTTTTTGACCAATTTTCTCCCTTAATGGGTGGTCAAACCTCCTTGAAAGGGAATGTGAATTTTGGGGTTTGACAAAGAAAAACAAAACAAAAACCAGAAGTCTCTGTCAAGACTGTTGCTCTACTGGTTTGTACTTATAAAAAGGGATGAGAAAAGAAGCCATTGCCATCAGACCAAAACTGTAGTAGGAGTAGCGTTTTAAAGGAATTTCACAGACATTTCTATTTTTAGTAACAACGGCAACACCGTTCATCGAAATCAAAATCCGATCCACTATTTTATGTATCTTAGTGTAGTCTACTTGTGTGCCATGTTATATTGAAAGCAGACCAAAACTGTAGGAGGAGTAGCATTTTGAAAAATTGTTTACAAACAGACACCTCACTACTGCATAAGCTCTTCTGGTCTGACCAGAGCTAACCAGTAACAGTAGAATCAAGGAATTAATTTCAATTTCTGGCAGGGTTGACTAGGCATCATAGAACATGTTCATGCTGAATATCAAACTCATTTTTTTTCAGTCAGTTGAAAAATTATAAAGGATTTGATGAATTTATATAAATATCCTTCTAACTGTCAAAGTCTAACCATCTAAACTAACACCATGATTCAGGCTGTTATGACTACAGTCGTGTTATGATCAGGCTAAGTATACGGTACTCTGTGAAATAATGGAAATAGAGAAAACAGTTAATATCTTCAGTTTTTTTTATCATAAAATTGGTTATAGGATTGTAAAAGCATGGTTAAGATTTTGAAATTCAATCCTTTCAGTCTTTTTGTATTCTTGTTTATGTAATATTGTGATAATTTTACAGCCTTTAGGGTTATCCTTCTAAAATGTTATTCATGTCATAAATGTAATCCAACCTTTCTTTAGAAATTCATCTGCAACAACTATCATGTTTTTCGTTTTTAATATAAACAAAGTATCTTTATTATGTTATAAAATAAATTGAAGATGCTATATGACTTTCAAGCTCAAGCACTCTATGCCATAATAGTACCGTATGCAAATATCTCTTCTGGTTGCTTTTCAATAACAATGTTTAATTTTCTCTACATTAAATATTCATCACTAATTTCCACCACAGGACTAAACAGCAAATTCTCCACAGCAGTAACATACCTTTTTGCGATACTCTGCAATAGCTGCCATGTTGGGTTTCATTTGCGCCAGTTTTTCCTCCAGCACTGTGATTTCGTACTGCACCCCCTCCTTATCTATGTCCTTCAGAGCCTCAGGGGACAGCTCTGTTAATTCCCCCGTCTCTTTACCATCAATTGGTGTCAAGGACAACGTACTCATCTGCAAGGACATTTACAGTAATTCCTAAAACTTTTTTTAATCTATAATTAAATTATCTTGCAATGCAGGCATTTCTGACATGCAGCTTGGTACATAAATTTTAATCTTGTCATACTGCATGCTTAATTTCACATATTGTTGAATTCTAAATATATTCTAAATGTTTACAATATTTGAGCTTTAATTTTTTTGTCTTCTGCTTTCCTATATCTTACTTTAAAATCCTTTCAGACTTAAACTTTCTTGCACTAACAGTATCTCTGTCTACATATATTTATGAACCCGTTCTTTTCAGAATTTAGTTAACGTCTTCAAATGGCATCATGATATTTCCACTTTACCTCTTTTTTCCAGTGTTTGACTTTGAGTTTGTTGCTTTTAACGATGCCCTCAATCCGCTCCAGTTCATGGCGTACATCCACCACGTCTTTTTGGAGCTCATTTTCATCTTTCTCCAGTTTACTAATCTCAGCCCGGACTTCATTTAGAATCACCTCTGACTCCTTCATCTTGTCCTGTATTCCAAAATTAAACCAAATATACTGTACTCCATGTTTTAACACATATCTAAATAACACATTTATAGCTAATAACACTTAACATTTGTGACTTACAAATGGATTTCCTTTAAAAGCTAAAGTTCAAGATGTTTCACACAATAATTATGCAGCATGTTTATTATTGCTACCATTTGTCTTCCAGGTCTCTTGCCTTTTATTTCCACTTTTTGACTCTTTATCAGCATCAAATGATTTTTATGTACGTAAAAAAAAAAAAAAAACTTCATTTCTGAAAATGTTTTTCTAAATGTTTGTGTAATATACAAGATCCGAGCCTCTTTATAAGCTTTAAGAACAGTGGTTGCTACATGTATGTTCCTAAATGCACATGTAATATATCAGACCTGAGCCTCTTTACAAGTTTTCAGTACAGTGGTTGCTACATGTTCTAAATGTACGTTTAATATACAGTATCAGACCTGGGCCTCTTTATAAGCCTTCAGTACAGTGGTAGCATCACTCTCCAGGGTTTCTAGTTGTTTCTGTAATTCTTCAATCTTATTCTTGTTTTCTTCAATATCTTCCCCAGCAGTGATGACTTTTTCTTCAGCTT